CGATTGCAAAATCGAGGCACGATTGCAAAATCGAGGCTCGATTGAATAATCGAGGCTCGTATGTCGAAGCTTGGCAAAACGAGGAATCGTGGTCGTTTTTGATCAGGTGCTTTTGGGCTCGTTTCCCAGAAACCTTGAATGATATTTAGCGTTGACCCGACTGATTTAATCCGAAGGCTGTCACGCCGCGCGTACGCTTAAATGTATCTTTAAGTGTTATAAAAATTCCTCAGCTTCCGTAATAGTCTACAAAATTTAGTTTTACTGGGTTTATGTCATTCTTAAGTTACATATCCTTGGTGGTAGGGAAATTAACGAGTCTAGAGAAGTATTTGAATTCCAAAGTATACAATTGTCGTCCATAAAGCTGTCCGCAGGCCAATCGCATGTAAAGCAAGCGACTTCATATAAGGTCTTGATTATTAATGTTTAGAATCCTTGGAAAAAGCCTTCTGTCGTTTCGGTGGAATTTCCTTAAAATCTTCCTGAAGATTCCTCTTGGCTTCGTATGCGGTGGTGCTAGCGGTGGGTAACATTTGAAAACATTCGAAGACACGGCCCTCGACCTTCTCACCAAATTCTTTATAACTGAGATTTCTGGCTTCGGCTGGAGGCTGGTATTTTTCGCCCAAAAATACCGTTTTTATCCCTTCCATCGCAAGCAGTGGGGTGCATTCATCGCACGGTGTCTTCGTTACAAACAAAGTTCCGTTCGTCAGGTTATTAGTGTTTCGTAACAGCAGGGCGTTTTGTTCTGCGTGAATCATATACGGATACTTCTTATCTTCGGGTTGGTCACTGTGGGAAGCCCTCGGAAACTCACCATAAAGCGCCTTTGTAGGGAATCCATTCCATCCGAGAGCGATGATCTCATTTTTTATGTTTACGATCACCGCCCCCACTCCTGTTTTTGGATCATCCGAACGCTCAGCCAAGAATTTCGCCAAAGTCATGAGGCTTACGTCGACTTCCGGGTTTTCGGATTTCTTCTCAACATTTCTTGATGGGTCAGATGAAGTGACTGTTCCCTTGACTGGAGACAAGGGTTCAAAATTGTAACCTTTTTCTCTATCAACTAAAAGACGGGCCATCCATTCCAAAGTCTTTTTAAAATCTTCGCAGACCTGTTCTTTCATGTTATCATCGAAGGCTGGCCATGGGAGGTGGTCTTTCACTTTGGTCATCCATTCTGCGTTGCAGTAATCTTTAAAGAGCTGATCTCTTTTTTTCTCTCTAGCCTTCTGTGGCGTTTTATTTTTTCTTTCGGCGTCAGCAAACACATCAGTCCCAACTGTTGGAACGAATACAGACTGACCTATTGCACTTGTTTTGAATAAGTTATCGACGCGTGATATTTCATCTCTAAACTCGCTTGAGCGCGTTGAGCACTCGGGTTCGATAGGTAGATAGAAGACCCTCTTGACTTGAGACTGTACAAGAAGCTTTGTACAAAAGGAGCAAGGCTTCCGCGACACGAAGACTTTACAATCCTTCGCAACATCTTGATGCTTTATTACCAAACGGGCGACTCCATGAACACGATCACGGCTGCAATCGACTGCGTGAATCATATCATTAGGCAGCATGAGCACTGCTCCGACTTTATTGAAAGAAGCGTTCGCTGTGGCAAGAGGAAACCGCTCCATCCAAAGGGCAATAACCATGCACAAGTCTTCTTTAGATATCCGAGATTCGCGCTTTGTGTAACCGGCGGACGAATGCGAAGCAGAAGCATCAACAGCTTTCGAATCCATTTTGCTTTGTCACCTTAAGGACTTGTAAAAGCTGACGTGTCAAGCGTTATTACGTCAGAGCGAATAGAGGATTATGGGTTGTGTATGTTTTACATGCAGAAAATGGAGCAACGCAATTTTTACAGAAACATGGTAACGAGACAAAAAAACAGTATGCTCTCCAGAGCTCTTCCGGTTTTTCTCTTTCGTCAAATTACTTTTTTGATTGTCTACAACCGTGACGACAATAAATTTCACAATATTCCCTTTTACGTTAAGGGTATAACCGCCCCCCGGTTAGAGCGCCNCAGTAATTAAAGTACGGTTGAACTAAGACATTGAAAACGGACTCAAGCGTGGTTCGATTAACAAAAGGCCTACAACGTTTAATTGCTCCAATGCCCGATGCGATTTTCTTGGCTATTTTTTCAATGTGCATATTCCATGAAAGGTTTTCGTCTATATGTACACCCAGAGATTTGACTGAGCTAACTTGTTTAATTATGTCACCACCTATGATTAGTTTAGGGGAAGTATCGTAGGTACCTATCCTTTGCCGCGATCCAATTAACATGAATTCAGTTTTAGATGAATTTAGAGTCAATTTGTTTGCAGTGAGCCATGTGTTAACATTGGATAGGTCGTGATTCATAACATCATTGATCATTTCTATGTTGTTACTGGCAAAGGTCAGGTGAGTATCGTCGGCATACATACGTGCAACTGAATTAGACAGGCAATTAGGAAGATCATTTATGTATAGAACAAAAAGCAAAGGTCCTAGAATTGTTCCTTGCGGAATTCCACAAGTGAGAACTTGACTAATTGAGAGCGGAGGAACAGTGGGAACAGTGGAAAGGGGCAGAGAGGACCAGAGGAACAGTGGGTACAGAGGACCAGAGGAAGAGTAGGAACAGAGGAACAGTGGGAACAGAGGAACAGTGTAATATACTACAGCTCAATATAGCAACAAGATCTATTCATTTTCGAAATGACTGTTTGTCATGTGCGCGACAGTAACGAAAATTCAACAAAGCATACAAAAGTTTATCGCATTCCCCAGTACGTTTGATGGTGTTCACTTCTTTGAGGAACATAGTTCAATCTGTCTTTTGAATAACGACGCCATAATGGCTGCGTCGTGATCGTGAGCTGGAATGGCTCGCTTGATTTGTTCATGTGATTTTTTTCTGAGCAGTAACGGCTTAGGATCTAGGGTGCAACTGATAGATTGAACAAGGTTAGAGTGGGTCAGCAGAGAGGAAGTATTCAGTTCTTTCCCGCTTGCAAGGAACAGTTGTAAAAGTTCTTCCATGCATGACAAAGGACTCCTCCCTCGTCAGTGCACCCTCTCGTGGCGGTTCTCCTTTCATATAGAGGTAGGCTTGCGAGGTATGCTTTTTCAAGTTTTGAAAATCACACTTTCGCCGTTTACCTCGGTGCAATGCACTCAATATTTGCACTTTCGGATTGACGTTGTCCAAATGGATTTGAACAACCGCGGCATGTGCAACTTTCGGAGCAACTTACTCGAGCTTTAAGACATTTTCACCAGCTCAAGTATTAACCAATTACGTTATTGCAAATATTCGCTACTGACCCTTGGCCTTTCCTGCTGACTCCACAGGAGCAAAACACCTTAGCTCGTTTTTCTTTCTTCTTTATTTCTTCTAACAACAAGAAACTTTTAGCAAAAGTCACATATCACTTATGTTTAAAGTGATTGTCCTATAAGAAGTTACCCGCTGATAAAGATATAGGACAATGTAACAATTCTAAAATGCGTCAGTTTGAAATATTCATGGAGAAAAGTATGGATTAAGTTCTGGTTAAGGATTTTGTCATTCAAAAGAGAGAAAGGTTTTAATTATTATATAATTTGGTTAGTAATGATGAATAGTTTTGTTTGTGGTCAAATAAATTGCTTGTTAAGTGGAAAAGGTATAACTAAGTTGCCTTGACTGGAACCAAGGTGGCAGTTTGTAGCATCCTTATTGATTATATAATAAAACATATTTTATAATAGGTCTGAAAAAACTTCAACACTTCAACTCTAGGGGAATATGATGCGGTAACAAGAAAACCTTAATATTTTTCACATTTTGCATAGGGAAAAAATTTTGCCCTACACCTATACTCAGCCTTTTAGACTTGTGATTGAAAGAAAAAAAAAACTTTCAATAATGATATTCTGAGGGTACAGAAACGCAAGGTTCAGAGTTGGAAAACGATTTGCTACCTTATATGAATAATTTTAGAAGCAGTTATAGGATTTCAAGAATTTTGGGTGTCTTCTGGCACTGTGTCCCATCTGGTCCTTCCCCTCATGTCCTCTGTTCCCACTTTTTCTCTGGTCCTCTATACCCACTGATCCTCTGTTCCCACTGTTCCTCTGGCCGCTGTACCCACTGGTCCTCTGTTCCCACTGTTACTCTGGCCTCTGTACCCACTGATCCTCTGTTCCCACTGTTACTCTGGCCTCTGTACCCTCTGGTCCTCTGTTCCCACTGTTCCCCTGGTCCTCTTGTTCTCTGTACCCACTGATCCTCTGTTCCCACTGGTCCTCTGGCTTCTGTACCCAATGGTTCTCTGTACCCACTGGTCCTCTGTACCCACTGGTCCTCTGTTCCCACTGTTCGTCTGGCCTCTGTACCCACTGGTCCTCTGCGCTCACTGTTCCTCTGATCTTCTGCACCCAATGGTCGTCTGTTCCCATTGTTCCTCTGGTCCTCTGTACCCAATGGTCCTCTGTTCCCATTGTTCTTCTGTTCCGACTGTTCCTCTGGTCCTCTGATCCCACTGTTCTTCTGGCCTCTGTATCCACTGGTCCTCTGTGCTCACTGTTCCTCTGGTCCTCTGATCCCACTGTTCTTCTGGCCTCTGCATCCACTGGTCCTCTGCGCTCACCGTTCCTCTGGTCCTCTGTACCCAATGGTCTTCTGTTCCCATTGTTCCTCTGTTCCCACTGTTCCTGTGGTCCTCTGTTCCCACTGGCCCTCTGTTCCTACTGGTCCTCTGTGCCTACTGTTCCTCTGCTCCTCTGTACCCACTGGTCCTCTGTACCCACTGTTCCTCTGTACCCACTGTTCCTCTGGGGCTCTGTTCCCACTGGGCCTCTGTTCCTATTGCTCCTCTGGCCCTATGTACCCATTGGTCCTCTGTACCCACTGGTCCTCTGTGCCCACTGGTCTTCTGTACCCACTGTTCCTCTGGTCCTCTGTTCCAACTGGTCCTCTCTCCCACTGTTCCTCTGGTCCTTTGTACCCACTGGTCCTCTGTTCCCTCTCTTCCTCTGGTCTTCTGCACCCACTTACCCTCTGGTCGTCTGGTCCTGTGCCCTTTGGTGCTCTGTACTCACTGGTCTTCTGGTCCTTTGTACCCACCGGTCCTCTGTTCCCACTGTTCCTCTGGTTCACCCTGTACACTGTACCTCTGGTCCTATGTACTCACTGGTCCTCTGTTCCTACTGGTCCTCTGTGCTTACTGTTCCACTGCTTCCACTGTTCCTCTGGTCCTCTGTACCCACTGGTCCGCTGTGCCCACTGTTCCTCCGGTCCACTGTGCTCATTGTTCACTGATCCTCTGTACCCATTCACTTTACCGTTCTGCTACATCTATCTGTTAATTATTAGTTATTGCAGAGCCCGGTATATGAGAGACTACCCCAATTTACACTCTCGACTCAGTTGATTTAACTAAAATTACCTTGTTCTATACAAATATTTGGGGGTGGTGGAGTGTTTAAATGGCCGAAATTTTTGCCCTAGTGTATAAACATTAGCCTCCATGTGGCGCAAAGATATGAACGGATATCTTCCCGCGGACATTATCCGTTCCTAGATGCAAACAGTTTTCCTCGAGCTCCTCACTTGGAAAACTGTGAGCCTCGAGGGACATGTAGTAATGTCTTAGGGCAAATAAATGAGCATAACTTCTCGCCAAATGGAGGCTACTGTGTTTATTACCCATCAAATATTTTCACAACGCGCGGGGAAAATGTTCACGAACAGCTTACTGTTTGCTGCGTGGGATGTTTACTTATCAGTGTTCTATGGCAGACTTAATGAGCAAACAAATGTGAGCCTTCTTCTACAACAACGGCTAAACTCATCTTCAAGTAAATTCACAACGAAGACTCATCGTTGTGAAAATTGCGACAGTCGGGGAATATCATTTTGGTGCTTTATCAGCAAACGAGCCACTCCATGACTGACAGACGCGCTCCTCCCCCTCACCCTCTCTCCCCCCTAGAGAGAGCGAGAGAGCGTCGGAAATCTGGCCCACCCACAACGTTAACCTCTCTCCGCCCTGGCAAGTCATGTCGCGAGTAGCACTCTTTACTCCCTCCCTGTCACAGTGATATGTGTACCCCCGTGATATGTGTATCCCCGCACACATATCACTAGTGATATGTGTACCCCTGGTAGGGATACACAAAACACTGAAGCTTTGAACCCGGGCCTCTGAGAGCTTCAAAGAAAACATGGTGGCTGGGAGGAACAAATTTTGTGGTTTTATATTTTAAAGTTTCCGGAATTGAAATATTGATTAGAAATTGTTTTTGGTAAACTGTCTAGCCAAACAAAAGCGCTTACAGGCCAGGGATACCAATTTTACTGCGATCAACGTTCACTGATGTGTATCCCAACATATCACAAAACGTTTGCTTCCCACTGTGCCTATGAGTGCGATTTTGAAATATTTTATTGATTAGAAATTGCACTGGGCTAGAGAGGCCAGGATACGCATATCACTACAATCACTGTCCAGTGATATATATAAATAAACATCAGGGGATACACGTATCACAGAAAAGCGATCGCAGTGACGTTAGATCACACTTCCATTAATTTTGACTCAATAATACACTTACAAGCCATACTTAGCTAGTATTTTGCTGGACAGATAAATGCGCTTGCTTTAGTAAGAGGATACACATACTGACTACGATTGCCGTGATATGTGTATCCAAAGTGTATCCACAAGATATAATGGGGATACACATATCACTGAACGGCCATCGCAGTGATATGTCTATCCCCCGACTAACTTGCTGTCGTCTGTCAATTTGGAATCAATAACACACTTACTAGCCATATATAAGCTTAGCTAGTAATTTGCTGGACAGACAAAAGCGTTTGCTTTACCAAGGGATACACATATTGACTGCGATTGCCGCGATATGCGTATCCACATTGTATCCCCAAGATGTATTGGAGATACACATATCACTGAACGGCGATCGCACTGATATGTGTATCCCCTGACTAACTCGCTGTCGTCTGTCAATTTGGAATCAATACTACACTTACTAGCCATATATAAGCTTAGCTAGTAATTTGCTAGAAAGACAGCAGCGCTTGCTTTACCAAGGGATACACATATCACTTACTACGATTTCCGTGATATGCGTAACTAGGCATTTATAGATTATGCTAGCATAATTTTTGGCATAATTCGAGCAAACTGGCATAATTTCTGCCAAGTACCAATGCTAGCATAATTTGCGCATTTTGATAATTATCAGATCATTTTTGATGCCCTTATTTGATAATTTTTTGTCTCTAGTCCCAAGCACTTGGTGATCTTAATCAATATTTAAAGTTTTAGTTAAACTAGTAGCATTTGTAGTTCACTGTGAAGCACTGAGCCCGGGTCTAACCTGAACCACGTGTTTATTTGAAATTCATTGTGGATTTGTTGCGTTTCTTTCCTGTAGCCTGACGGCTTCTAGTTAAAAAATATATTTTTTGGACTTATTTGCATTTTTTCAAAGAGCATAATTTAAAAAAACGGTGGCATAATTTGGAAAAAAGAGCATAATGTTAGCATAATTTGGCCAAAAAAAAAGCAATGCTTCTAGCATAATATGCCACTTTCACTAGCATAATCTATAAATGCCTATGCGTAACCCCGAGATATGTTGAGGATACACATATCACTGAACGAGAGATCTCAGTGATATACGTATCCCCTGGCTAGTGCGATGTCGTCTGTGTACTTTTTAAATTTGTCAGTGACACATATGATTGGGAATCAATAAAACTTGCTGTCAGTTGGTGAAATATTTCATGCACTTACGTACTAGCCAGTAAAGGAGCTAGTAGAAAGTAATTTCAGTGCTAGACAGGCGACAAAGCCGATACGATTGCAGTCACCAGGTATATCTGTATCCCCAAGATATATTTTTGTTTACATGACAATTTCGATTCCTTTATATTTCCAATAGATTGTTTGATGTTTGCTACTGGCCCATAAGAACTGTCGGACTCGCGAGTCGTGTCTTTACAGTTCTGATTGTGGAAGATGGTTCAGTGAACGATTTACGTCCATTAACACAAGTTAGCCGTAATTATTCATTTTTGGGGGGGAGGGGGGTGGGGGATACACATATCACTGGCTGCCATCTTGGAGGGGGTACACATATCACTAGTGATATGTGTGCGGGGGTACACATATCACGGGGGTACACATATCACTGTGACACCTCCCAGGAGTTTTTGCGCGCTGATGTAGACATAGAGAGACTGGACACTACCCTTAAGGAGCTTTCAAAATGGCGGCTAGTGTAAGTGTTAGGGATGCGAAGAAAGCCCTCGTGAAATACCTACCTTACGGGGGACTAGCTGGCTACTCTATACTTTCACTTCATTCAATGAAGGTTTATGCAGAACAAATCATCATCGGAAAGAATACAAGATCAGTTGTGTTCCACGGAGCATTGACTTTGTCAGGCATTGGCATTGCCACTTATCTGTACAACCGACCTGTGTTTGATGTCATGGATTCTCCGAGGTCAAAACGTCTTTTCTGGAGTATATATGGCACGTGGATGTTCAACTTTGGTTCCTTGATGCTTTGGGCGATTTGTAAAGAGATTTGCCCGGATTACAAAGTGATACGAGCTATTATGGCATTGGCGTCCAGCGCTGGACTGGTGTATGTCGGCGTAGATTACTTACGTGAAGTGGACAGACTTCGAGTGGGAATCATTGCAGAACGAGTAGATGGAGCCATAGAATTATAAAAGCAGGGAATTTATCACGAAAGGCAGAGAACGATCTTCCTCCTCATTAAGAAATAGCGCAAATAATATACAGCGCACAATTTCACTTATATAACTTGATTAAGACTTATTGGTGCATTGTACATATTAATTTTGGTAGTAATTACCACGAATTTTAAAAGACTACGGACCCCATTAAAGGCAACTTTGTTTGTGAAAGTATTGATTTGCAATCGTCTCCTTAGTGTAGTTGACGGCTGATTGGGGAAGGAAATTGTATACGAATCCCCCATGGCTTTAATTTTTTCGATGTCATGACAACTTAATTTTTATTCTGCAACATACGAAGGGAAACAAGTTTGCAATCAGTTATAGTGTGTAAACTCTAATGAAGAACATGACCCAGAAGCAAGGCAGCTCATAACGTAAATAATTGTAGACATGGAAATATGCTTGCTTACTAATTCTCTCAGTGTTGATAATAATTTAGTAAATTATTATTGATGAAAAAGTATGGTCTAATCTGTTACTTCAGTCTTGGCTTCATTACTTTCTCTTGTCTTATCACAAAGTAAAACTACAACATAGAAATGTCAGCCCATGGGAGTTCCATAAATATTACTCAAGGTGGATCAAACACCTTGCTTGATGGCAGGCTCCCCTTAAGTTACCACGGCAAAGTCCCTGGACTGCTTTCTCCAAGGATGGGTCAAAATTGTCACAAAATACCTGGAAAATCTACAACAGTTAAAATGTTTACTGATAGAGCTGAAGTTTTGCCAAATCCACTCCTGGACTAACAATATGTATGCAGTATCTGTTTTTTTGTATATCTTTTTATGTATACTTTCTGCATGAACTTCAATGCACTTAAGATATCAACCTGTAACCTCAAAGTATCACTTTGGGAGGACCAATCAATGTCAGCATGAGAGCAAAAGTTCACCCACCCCTCTCCTAACCCAAAATTAACCTTAACTTGTTACTTAGTGACAGTTGTTAGGTTGGGAGGGGGGATAGTTACACTGTTGCTCATACAGTGATACCCTGGACTACCCCTCTGGTGGCCTATGATACTTATGAAAACCTCCTGTGAATTTGAGACCTTTAACCCTGGAGTTCACCCTTTGACAACTGACGAAACTCTGAAGGTACTTAATTGGAGAACAATACACTGGAATTCCCTTGGCATCTTGGAGTGTTACCTTCAAAGATAACCCTGGTTGCTTCCATTGTGTGTTAAAGTGTGTTAAAAGGTTGCAATGGAACACATGTCCAAACAAAGTGTTAAAATAACTTGTTGCTCTTCAAAGGCAAACTTTTTACTTCTTTTGCACTAACAATTGTACTGAATTGTGCTTAGTGCTTTAAACATTAAAATAACTTATTAACAAATAAGCTTGCCTACATTAAGACATAAAAAAATTATTTCACTCTATTTACTGATGGTTCACAAGCACATTCATTCTACATGTCGTTTTCTTTACATGGCATACAGGAGCTCAATTGTGAGAGCTTTTAACTTAACTATTCTAACATATGGTACATTATTGTTGCTCCTATCTACCTCCTGTGGAATTCGTTACAACTATTGTTTACTCTAATCTGCAACAAAATGATTGCTTGAAAATATTCTTTCTATATACCCTCATATATTACAGTTAAAAGCCTGAAATCAAATAAATCCGAATCACTTCCCCCCTAAAGAGATTCAAATAGCAGAGCAGTTCACAGGTTACCATAGAAATCAACTCTGTTCTCCAAAAATCAGTTTTGAGCAGTCCTAAGCAACCAGGGCACAAAAAATTATACTACAATTTCCTCTTAAAATATGTGATAAATTGTTAAAATACTATTGGATGAACTAAAATATCTCTTTTTCATCCCTACCAAAGAAGATACTCATAGCAAAAAATGCAGTTTAGATGTTATAATTAAATGCAACATCAAAAGAGTAAAACTTTAAAAAATAATGTAAATGTTAAGAGTGATCAAACAGGGCAAGAACCGTAACATATTTCAAGTAACTTAACCGGTAGGTACTGGATATTTCACTTAAATTATATGCTTCAAAAATGTTGTGTTTGGGTCAATTGGTAGTTACTCTCTTTTTGAAAAACAGGAGTCAGTCATCAAACATCACAATGATGCCCAGCTGGTAAACCTGTGTGTAGATATTCTTGCAAATACAAATCACTAACAATAACTTAACAGATGAAGGAAAAAATAATTTTCCTCCTCCTGCTATGTTATCACTAGTAATCAATAATAAATTATCCATATCTAGCTATTTCACCTTGCAGCAGTTATCACCCACCCTTGACTATTCCAGTAAATTAGTTTTTTTATTCATAAAATCACAAAATGCCTCCAAAATTATGAACATAAATTATTATCTTCATGTTTGCAGATTGTAACTAAATGTAACTATGCTTAATACAATGCAATGAAAGTTAATATCCATGTCTATGTGATTTAAGTTATTACATACCACTGTAAATAATAATTATAGAACTGAGTGGAGTGCAATTTGGTCTGAAATCATATACATGATTTCAGAAATCATGTATATGATTTGTATATGAATCATGTATATGATATGCAATTTGTGCATTTTGTATCATGTATAATTGTGATGTGCAATTTGGTCTGAAATCATATACATGATTTCAAAATTAAATGAGCTTGCAGCACATTTTTTATTTAAAATCACAAGTATGATTTCAGAACAAAATTGCATGACAAAGTTAAATTACCAATTAGTTACATTCCATTTGAAAACCCCAAATTCAGGTGCTCAAAACAAGTTTTTTGAGTCTGTACAAATATTTTATCATGCTAGTATATCAAGCTGGTTTGTAAAAAGTTGCCAAATTTGTCCATCATTTTTCTGCAATTAATTTGATTGAATTCTTAAAACAAGCATTAAAATTTTATTGGTTGTGGTGTTTTAGTAAAGCTGTCTCATTGGCTGGGGAAAAGAAAAAATTCAGAGGATAAAATGGTGTGATTTGTAAATAAATCACACCAATGAAAGCCAATCAGAATACAAGGATGACAAGTGATTTTTAAAATACAAATATCAAAATAATTCTGAGTTCTTATTATTTAAAAATAACTATATATTATACTAGCTGGCTACGTTAACAAGCACAAGGATATCTATTTTATTAAAAAAGGGCAGAAAATCTTAAACTGACAAAATGCCCTTCGAGGGATCATAAGTATAAATAAATTTACAACTCCAAACAACTTATGTAATTATTTTCGTGTAAAGAACATGACATGCAAATGCCATTCAACTGCCTGTATGAAATGACTCCTCTAGGTACTTTTCAGTGATTGAAGTACATCCAGACATGCCTTGTAACAGAAAATGTACTGATCCTGTAAAAAAAAAAAAAAAGAAGGTATAAGACACATTTCAAAAGACACAACAACAAAATCAGGATTTAGAATAAACATTTCAAAACATACTACCTATTTAACCCTCTGACCCCCAAGAGTGATGATGATGATGATGATGATAATAATAACAATAATAATAATTTATTATTTATATAGCGCATGGTCCATAGGAAGATGCTCCCAAGCACTTTACAACGTGCAAGTAACCCACCATCCCACCCTGGGGTCCGGGGAGGACATCCACCACACAGTAATCTTGTGCATGGGAAAGCAGAGTGACAAGCAGAAAATTTCTTGCAATATCACCCCTGAATCAAACAATAACGTCACAAGAATAGAGGAATTGATCACCAACAAAAGAAGATTTTGACTGTTAAACAAACTCTCCTTGTCAGCACCCTGAGAAACATATAGAGAACAGTATGGAGAATATGCATACTGATGTTAGGCTGTAAAGGGTTAAGTGAAAGACATACCACTCTCTGATTTAACACCTTTACCCCCAAGATCTACTTGTCAATTCTTTCTCCTAGCTTCTACACATTTCCTTATATACTAGTTAAAAGAATTCAGTGTTTGATCAAGATGATAACTTCTACCTTGTAAGTTTGAGTATTTGCTTTACCTGTTTGCTGCATAATGTATTTGTATTATAGAGAGAAGTTACATGTTAATCACATCTGGGAGTTAAAGGGTTAGGAATGTCCTAACCAAATGTCTCAGTACAGTTTCTTATCTTTGTGGTGTACTTGGTGCAACATAGTTCTTTTATTTCCCATGGTCTCTTTACAATTTGGAAATATCCTTAAATAAAGAAACAATCCAATAAAGGTGTCCTCACTTTGGTTTGAATCATGCCCTGTCGCTGCTCACGCAGATTCCTGATGATTTTATTAACATCAAACTGCAAATTAGAAAGCACATAATACATTCAGATAGACATTAACAGCAAGAAGATTAATATTTGATTTCTCTTAAGATCTTTCCAAGGTCAGCAATCTTAGGCCCCTTGGCAATACACCAAGCATACTGGCCAGCTATAAACATGATGTAGACTAGCTGCTTAGCTCAACTCCCTCATATTAATGAGGTAATAAAACACAAAAAACTGTGCTGACTTTAAAAAAAAAAATTGTTCTTTCCAAAGAAATATATAGCCTACCAATGATTCTCTCTCCATGAGACCCATTGCCACATCAATAGTAATGAGAGCTCCAGTTCGACCTATTCCCGCACTACAGCATGGAAAAGAAGAAAAAAATCAAATGCTATTTCCTTTAACATTACTGCTATCATAATAATGGTACTTTGTAAAAAGAAAAAAATACAAATGAATCAAAAGAGTTTGTGTACCTTGATGTCAGATAAGAACAAGTAATGAAATGGGCTTCAGTGTCCCTTAAGTGCTATTATATTTTGGAATAATTACTCAAGTGATTACAAAGAGATGTGCACACTGATCGGTTGACAGTTACATAATATCTCACTGTTAGCACCCAACACAAAGTGGTTATAACACTGCAGCAATACTGGTACTTTTCAAGACACTGGTAGCAGCTATCTAAACACTGGTAGCAGCTTTGAAAATTTTGCTGTTGCTGCAGAAGGAAGAAATTCAAAATGCAGTTGCTCTACCAATCACTGGAGTTATTTTCTCAACTAAAAGAGCTTATCTCCAGGAATTTTTCAACATTGTTTACTTCTACTTTAAAGAATGACTGTTATGTAACACTGAAATAAATTCACCTGCAGTGAACAACAATAGGCCCTGGACCATCTGCAAGAAGCCGCATAAATCGAACAAACTCAACCAACTCCACAGCAGTCTTGAAGCAAACCAAAAATATTTCTCAATTCAAAATACACATGTATGACAAAATTCAGTATTTTGAACAACCCATAAAAAAAGCTAAACGTGCCCTTGATTTTTTCACTTTGAAGTACAGCATAGTTCCCTGGCAAGTGCTGACATGCAAGGTGACACCCAAAACACTAGTGAGGGAGTACTTGTCCTCTGTCCCTTAGAAAAAACAACCCAGGTTTGTACTGAAGCCTTGACTTCTTTTGATAGTAAGAGTAAAAATTAATGGTCAAAGTTTCAAAATTATTTTCAATTATCAATAAATAATTCATACTGATTGTGTTATAAATAAAAGGCAAGTCTTCATTATGAAAACTGATGAACTACCTTTGGTACACCATGATCAGGCCAGCTGGTGAAGTTTATGTGAGACACTGTTCTAGTTTCACCAGTCTGAAGATTTTAAAAAGACACAGTCATGTAACATGCACTGCTATTGAGGAAATGCTACTAAAAATAAATGACACATTTTATTCATTGTCTTTTATTAAATGGCTTTTTCTTGAAAATATGGCAAATGCAAATTTCCAGGGACCTTACAGTGTTGCATTTGGTTATGATAACATCATACAACAAAGTCATACAGAGAAATAAAAAACTAATTCAAAAATTATTTCCAGTAAAAAAGTTGTTCATCAACTCTACCTGAAGGTTATTGATTTGAAATTCTCTTTCTACAAATGAATCAAAATCCTCCTTTCTTTGAAGACTCACAGACATACTACATTAAATAAAGACAAAGACAAAATGGAAAATTTTAAAAATTGAGCAAACAGATTTCTTCCAGAGGAAGCTTTCTTTTTGTGGACAGATGACCTCAGGAACTTGAACATTATGCAAAATGACACTACACCAGCAAAAACTGCTGTCAGTCAGAGGGTTAACTAAACTTGGTATATTTTGAAATTCTCATCAACTATAGTTTTGATCGTGTATTGAAATAGTTGGAGGAAGTAACAAACTAAACACGTACAGTTCCTTTTAAATTTTTAAAATAAACATATATACCAACCTTTCTTTGAAAACCAAAGGTTGATCCTCAGATTCAGGCCAATATCTGTGGCACTTAACCTGAAAAAAATTAATAAATTAAGTGTGGGTAACCCCTACAGGTAATACACAGTGAGAGTAATAAATTTCATCATCTCATGTATAAAATTTCAATTGTTGCTTGAACACACAAAAAAATTAACAGTTTGAACTTGTTTACCTTTCCTCCCTCTATCTCTAATGTTACCATGGCAATAACTATCACTTCCTGTTCCCAGATCATTTGCCAGAAATCTTCAGTAGTATTGGGGAGAGGACCCTACAAAAAAGTGATCGAGTTCAGTCAAGTGAATTCTCTTGCTAATGAAAAGCCAATCGCCATCCTACTCAAGGAATCTAACTGATTAGGAGGTTGGCAGCAACTATCATCTGATCAATGGAGGGGACTTGCTCACTCTCCGCACCAGTCTATAAGACCTATATGTATTCTTATCAATACCTGAGAGGCGATGTAGTGGTAGATGTCATCACCAACTGGAATCTGAAATGTTCATGAAGTACAAACAATTGAGTAAGTCACAATTGGAACAAAACTATTTATCAAATAAGTACAATGGATACAAGGCAGGTTATGGCCAAAGAAACACACAGTTACCCAAGTTCTGTTGTTTACATCAAATAAAACAGGGACAACAGTAAAAACGATTAGTCTTGTTGGTTAAAATCCACACGTGTTCTTAATGTAACAAGCTAGAAATGTTTGCAGGAGCCTACAGCAAAGCCAGCCACCAGCATATAGTTTTGGCCTTGGTACACAAGACATAAGATTGCCTAATTATGTCATTTAATAGTTGCAATGACAAACACTTTACCTTCACATGGCTGGCATTTATGTAATCATTGTCACCATCTCCACTCAACTTAACTCTTGTCTTGTCAACTAGAGTTAACAAACAATTGATCTAGTTAATACCTGAACACTATAAAATTTCACTTAAAGCCAATTTCATCCCCAGTAATTAGGTTTTCCCTAGTCAGCTCAAGTCTGTAAATTTTCAGGTACAGGGTACTTCTTTCAATTATAACATGTCTCAGTCACTGACTTGCACTTGAAAAAACTGAGTAGTAAATGGAGAGTCTAACCATCCAAAGATGAAAAATTCCCATACTCTTTCAACCCTATACACCTTAACATCAGTACACATATTCTCCATACTATTCTCCATTAATTTCCTAAGGTGCTGACAAGGAGAATTTGTTTAACACTGATCAAGAGCTTCTTTATTTGGTGATTATTTCCTTTATTAGCATGACCTTGATGTGTGATTCAGGGCTGATAATGTACGGAGAAATTAGTTGCTGGTCACTCTTGGAGGCCAAAGGGTTAACCAGCTATTCTTGCCATAATTCTTATCATTATACTAAGTAGAGTACGTAAAAGCAAAAGCAAAGCTTTGGTGACAACACATGGATTACTTACAAGGCAGCACATTTCTGTATCTGTTCTTGTCCCTGTTTGCTGGTCTCTTTCCCTTATCACAGCCATCTGTTTGCTTGATCTCTCTCAGTGCCTACAAAATAAGCAGAGGAAATTCACAACGAAGTACTCCAAGTTTAGTTCCTGCAAGAGAAACCAAAAGCCACATTTGATGTACATACCTTAAACTCCTCAGCAGGAACATTTGAGTCTAGCTTTTCACGCACAGTTCTAATGAGGTCATCAAGCTGATGTCCTGTGTAGCAACCATCTTCAGCCACATCAATCAATGGTTCTGTTGCAGAAGGTGGCTCCTCTCTACTACAGCAAAAGACAAAATAATAAATTGAAACTTAGTATTATCAAAAAATGACTCTAAAGCACTCTGATTGTACGATGTTGCTAGGAAACTAAACTAGTGAGAGTCTTACCTGACATGTCCACTAATTGTACCATTTACAACTGGTTTAGAAGAGGAATCACTCCCTGAAAACTTTGGTAAAGATTCCACTCTTGGTGGTGGTTTGACTGGGGGTTCATCATCATCTGAGGGTAGAGGTGTGGTTGGGATAGGTGGCGGCACATCGGATGGTCTCTCTAGCACATCAAGAATATTCCCATTTCTAGGAATACCTCGATTGTCTGTATTGTTACTGTCCACAACACCTTCTGCTAATGTGGTGTCATTCTCATTCAACATGTTAATCACCAGCTGGCTGTTGTCTCTTAGCATGTCAAATACATCTTCATCATTGATGTCGATATCATCATCAACATCACTGCTACTTTCATCTCCAATACTACTGTCATGAGCAAGTTCATTATTTACATCTGTATGATTAACTTCATGTGTATCATTATCACTGGGTTTGGGTATGTTTGTAACATCATTGGCTATGTTGGTATAACCTGCTGGTGAACTAGATCCACTTTTGAAAAACTGTCGAGATTTCTTGGAAACCAGATCTGGAGTTTCTTCATTATCACTGTAACCACTTTCCCACTGTGAGTCAAAATCCCGTGGATCTACAGAGGGCAAAGACTCGGGGGGTGAAGGAGGAGGTTCAAGCGATGCAAGTAAGGTTGATAAGACAGAATCTGTGTCTCGTTTTTGTAAAGAAGGTTGTTTATGTTGGACTTGACTTGTGGGAGGTGATGATTCAACATTTGCTACTGAGATAGCATTCAAAAGTTCAGTGACATCATCTTCATCTTGTATGTCTCTGGATCCACTAAGTGTCTGTAAAATGGAGATAAAACTCTGAATAGTTGTTTAAGAATATTGTTCTGACAATATTTAACTGTTTCCTTGATCGTTCTCAATTATGTGATGAAAATTTTAAGCAAATATTCTATTTTAGTGTTTATTGAAATTTTAAAACAATAATTTTTTTATATAATCAATTTTAATTGAGATGTTCTATTGAAGAGTGACATTGATAATAATTCTTTAAATTTTCAAACTGTACTTCATTTAGGTTTTTTTTTTCTTCATTGAAAATCTGAAATCAATTTCAGCTTTATGCTTATAGCAGAAAAAGGTCAACATTTACCTTTCTGTTTTGTTACCCTACATGTATACTCAACCTATACTATACTTCCGTCACTCTATACTCAACTCATAACTTTGGGGAAAATATAACTAACTGACACAAATGCAAGGTTATTTCATGCTCTCCTTTCTAAGTCATTAATCAAGGATCCAAAGTTCCTCATAGTAAGAAATTTATGAACCCACTTCTTTTCCTCTTCAAATCTCTTACTTTGGTACTTAATTCTCATATTAAATCTACACCTACATTGACTTTTTCTAACTGTTTGCAGGGTTATTTTTTTTTAAATAATTATATATTTAAGAAAAGAATAATTAAATAATTATGTCACAATTCAGTTTATTCAATTTTAGATTTGTTTTATGGTTAACAAATCAAACTTAACAATGCTGCTTTTGATGGCAGAACAAATCAACATTTCAAAATGAACACTATCATTTGGATGATTTGAAATCATTATGTGAACGTCTATCAGCCAGAAATACACTATTCACTCAGACAACACTGAGGTCAAATCCCGTCTGGCTGGAGTATTATAAAATACACCAAAAGTATAACTTACTGCAAAGAGAAGGGTAAGCATTTTAAATCTGTCCTCTGTAAAATCTTGTTTTAGTTAAGGAGGATCCCACTCTGACATGCAGTGAGAACATGAATGAAAATCAAGGGAAGTTAACTTATAAATAACCTTAAAATGAAAGATATCTTATAACAGGAAAAGGTGCAGCACAGAGTGTGGGCTGAAGCTGAAATTTGATTAAAAAGTCAAGGCCCCGAGGGCATTCCATTCTTAAAAGTGTTCCCTTAGCACTAGTGCATGAACTAATCACTCAGTTATCCTTGTAATACCCAAACTGCTAAACCTCCATGTTTTTGAAGGCCAAATGTTAACAGAGTGCAGTGTATTATTACCTTGTTTGTCTAAGCACTGAATATGTAACATGATTCATGGCTAAAGCCATAAATGCTGCAGTCAAGTTTATAACGAGAGTAATTAATGCCTTCAGCCTACAATTTTCATGATTGGCCTTTAATTTACTTGATATTAATTTCACAGCAAAATTAAGTATTTTACATCTTAATTCTCAATTTTAAGATGTGGCTTTTACATCAGTGAGCAGTTCGTTAAAGATTTAATGGCTTGACCAAAAGTTTATAAACTATTCAGATTTTATGATTATTAACAGGAATAAATCAACAGCAAGATTAGAGTCATAATATTATGAAATAAATTCTAGTACTGTTTGATAAACAAAGAGAGTTATAAATATTACTTGCTATACACATACTAAATGATCATACATTTCATGAAAACACCAGAGACTACAATGACAGTGTATTTCAAATTTCTACCAAAAAAAAAGTCAGGAAAGAGTACTTCTTTTAAAAGATGGTACAGCATAAAATAAATTTAGGACGATGACTCAGTTCAAGGATTTTAATAAATACCTTGTCCTTGTCCTCTAAGGTAATATCAAGGTCAACAGAGTGAGGTGCTCTTTCAAGAGGGGCTCTTGTTGTCTCTGGTGATACTAAGGATCCTTTTCTTGAGGACACAGAAGCATCTGCTCCATATAGTTTAGATGGTCTTTTATATGTGGAAAAAAAAAACCTGCTTAACAAATAACTAGGTCTAGCTTCATTAAGTTTTGTAGCAACATAATGGATATATAATTATAACTATCTAAAGTATGAAAATACCACCCAAGGCAAGTAGACCTTTTCACATGCATTGACTGTCTTGCTCAGAGTCCAGTTTCTGATTATTTTTTAGTTGATAGAAATTAACTAATTCCTTGTTACTTGTACTGAAACAGTTTATCACCTCTAAAAAAATAGCTTATTGACCTCTTATTCTGTGAAAAATTGTTAAATACCAGCTGCTTTGGAAATGTTTTCCTTCCTTATTCAACACAACAAGCAGCCACATAACCAAAATGTTTTGTTTCTCTAAATCTACGAAAAAATATTATCTTTTTAAGAAATGAGGTGCATACCTGCTAATTTCCAGTTCCACTGTTCCTGTAATTTTTCTTAACATACCAATGACCCTTGCATGACTGAGACCTTGAACATCTTCTCCATTGACCTGGTCAAAATAAAATTAGAATCAGACAGAGCAAAAATCAAGACAAATTGTATAACATGCAATCACACCTGCAAGATCTGATCTCCAACTTTTAACCTGCCATCATTCTCGGCCACACTGTCCGGGCTTATTGTCTTGATAAAAATTCCTTGAGCCTATAATACAATAATAACAAAACATTTTAATAGTTGGCAAATAAGCATACAAGAACAATTGTATGCCAAATTCATATCATTCACTTACATTTGAATTAAATGTTGGTGCTGCCACCAGACTAAAGCCAAATCCACGTGGTCCTTTATCAAGCTTCATGGTAAACTGCTCACCCTAGTATCAGGAATTATAAAATAAAAAACTTAAATTTTAAAGATACCAACAAGATGGGGTAGTTGAGGATGTTGGAATTGAAATCTGGAAGTTCCAAGATCATTTTGTGCACTCCACCACTGAATTGCATTTTTTGACTACTTTCAACTCCTCTGCTGGATTAAAACATGCTAAATCCTACCTAAATCTGCAAATAAAGCTAATAGCCATAGGCAACATTCATATGTACTTAACTTTGCAATGTCTTTAGAATAGTTAAACAATTACAATTAACAATTTGATTAATGATAAATCAAACCAAGATACACAAATCACACATAGAATGGTATTGCTGGTCGGAGTAAAACCAAAATCCTTAGAAAACACAGATAAACCTGATTTGCTTTCTTAAACATAACTTCTCTCCTAATAAAATTCAAATGTTTGAATTTACTACAGGCAAAGTAACTGAGTCACAACTACAGCAGTATTACACCATGCATGTTATACACAACCACCTTGGCTGGACTTTTGTGGGAGTTCTGAGCAATGAAACCAAAAGAGGAATGGCAGTGTGCTTACACTATTGAGTGTTGTACAATACATCTCAGTTCCACTGTATCATTGTGAAAACAAAAGATTTAAGGGACATAAAGTTCTATCTATCTATATACCTACCTATCTACCTACCTACCTACCTACCTATCTATCTATCTATCTATCTATCTATCTATCTATCTATCTATCTATCTACATTCTAACAATTGGAACCAGAACAATGGTCTTAAACATAGCCTGACCTCTTCCTCATCATCATCAATCTCTTTCCCATCACCATTTTCTTCTCTGCTGTCATATGCATCCTCACTTGAACCAGTCCTGTTGTCATCTGGGATATCAAGAGACTGTGTTTGGCTAAGGACTTCATGGCTTGTCTGTGGATTCATGGCATATTTGGATTCAACTTCGTGTGGCCTTCTTTCCACCAACAACCTAGCAACTGGTCTTGCTGCATCAAGATGCTGTCTTGCTGCCACAAAGCCAACGCCATCCACTTTAGAGCCATTGATCTGAAAATGGAAATAAATCAGTAGTACAAATTATTCAAGATTGATAAAAAGAGTTGGAATTTAGTAGTGTGAATCCAAAATCAACTTTTATTTAGAACTACAGCCAAAAACAAACATGACGTTACATGCCTCTAAAATTCGGTCTCCTTGACGCAAACTCCCCTGAGTAGCTGCTGGCTCCCCTGGGACAACATCCTCAACATAAATCTTTTGATCTTCACCCTCTTTGATCAACAGGCCAATTCTACCTTGGGTTGTCCGCGTCAGGTTGACAACTTCCATAGGGCCTGTCTTTGTTGAGCCCACACACTGAAATTCAAATAATTGCAAGGAGTTATTACCTACTTTTTGCCCCTGGTACACCTACCTATGCATCACTTTCTCTGTGCATTTGGATGTAAATTGCTTTGGTTGCTTTAAGTCTAAACAAAGTTTTCCCCACTCCCATGCATCATCCTGAACAAATTGCTAATTTCCTAACTGATAAGAATCACACAAACCAATAATTGCTTTATGTGAAAATCCCCTGCCCCACAGATCATCAGATCACAGATCTTCATTCAATATGCCCTTAAACTGGACATCATAACATATACCTAAATTGCTTAAGTGGGTTATGAAAAACTATGAAAAGCTAAAAATTTTTTGGTTACGAAAGCAGACATTTGAAGAGAGGAGCACAACACATTCTATAGAAATAAATGCAGAGGAAACAAGATACAAAGCAACTACTTTGAAACTCACCCCTGTTGGTCTTCTCAGCACTACAAGTTTAACATGCTGCTTTGTGGCTCGTAGAATATTAACAGCATCCATGTGCTTCATACTTGAAATGTCATGGCCATCCACCTATTATAGAAACAAAAGAACTCAAGCTCTGAACTCTTTAACTCATAAGATTTCCTCTATTTAGTAATTTCCCTTACTATTTGTCATACAACTCTTTTCATGCTAGTTTCTAGAATTTAGTATTGGATCAAATACCATAAAAGCCCACAGATAAGCTGCACTTTTTTCCCCCAAAAATCATTGCTAGAAATTGGGGGTGCAGCTTATCAGTGGGAACATTTCAAAAAGGTGTTGTGAATGTCCATTTTCACGTTCAATCTAATGCCTGGTTACTAAGCTTCGAATGTTCTGCTCACGTTCTTGTTGTAATGCAAAAATCTATGGAAAAACTGTTGACAAAATTAATACCAGAAAAAGAGAAATCATATGTCAAAGTTGGTAAAAACGATGTTCATTACATAAACGTGCTAAAATTGTGGGTAGCACTTTGAAGTATTTTCGGTTACAATGATGAGTTTACATTCGATGAACAGTGGTTGGAGACGACTTCTCAAGACTTGACTTTGGATTTCTTTTGATTTCTACCAAAAAACTTTTTCTCCAAAATTTGATCTGCTAAATTCGGGGTGCAGCTTATCTGCAGTTGCGGCTTATCCGCGGGCTCTTACGGTACTAATCCCTTGAATTAACATTTTACTTTAATCTCATGACCTGTCTGCTTAATATTGTATTGATATTGTCGGGATAAATTCTTTCCTGGTCACTCATAGGAGTTCAAGGGTTAATGCCAGTAGAATGAGAGAAGTTTATAATACACTTTCCAGCTTGATATTCATCACCAAACACCATAGAAAAATGTACAGAATATGAAAATAATGTATGGTTCAATGTATAAAGTTGCCAAATGAATTAAAAGAAGCTATTAGTCAATTAAGGCAGCCACTAATTACAAAACGCTTGGAGACCTCAAGTTTTGCGGGGTAGTTAACAGACGTTCAGATGCCTTATTTATTTTCATGAAAGAGAGGGGTGGGGCAGTACTAGACCATCCCATGCCAAGCTTTGAAATAATCCCACTTATTCTATTCTCTAAACATAATAATAATAATAATAATAATAATAATAATAATAATAATAATAATAAAGGTCTTTATTAAGAATTAATGTGCAAACAGACATGCAACAATTAACATGAATAGAATGAATAAGGAAAAAGAAAAGGTATTAATTACTATTGAAAAGACATCTATTAATAAAAACTGATTTAAAACGGCTTGTCTGAACCTTAGGCAAAATATAATTATGCTACTACATCTTACTACCACATCATACTACCACATCTTCACTATACAATTCATAGTGTTTCCTAACCCTCAGTATTTGATCTCCTTGATGCAGACGGCCATCCTCTTTAGCTGGACCACCAACAATATCCCTCACAAAGCATCCCCCAACAGTGTCTGCTCCTCCTGACAGAGTAAAACCAAGGCCACCGGAACCTTTAACCAAATCTATGTGTAATACCTGTTCAAGCATGAAAAGGATTTATAACATTTTAATAAAGAGAGCTTGGTTGATGGTTCTCTGTCTTTGCTGTATGTATGCAAGAGGTACAGTAAGTTAGTAATTCTCAAAGTAGGTCTCAGAAAATATTCATAAATCTATTTGCTCACCATAAAGAGATTGAAGACATATCATAATAGGATCACATTACTTTGTGGATGGTCAAGAAACCTCATGTTTCACATTCAGTTACTTGATTAAGATGATCATGGTTAGTTGCTCAGACAACCGAATTTGAGAGAAAAAGGAAGATCCCAAGGCATACAGAGTTTGAGGAAGCCATAACTTAAACAACAGCAAGCCAAGTGGGTTGATGCCATCTCAAACCTAAATTCTGAAGCCTGTAAAATTACTTCAGAAACTGGGGGAAAGGGAAGGTTGAGTTATCCAGAGAAAACTTTACCTGGCTCATATGAACCTCTTCAGTCCTACACATGTTAGTTTTCACTACGGTTTGCTGTAGGATTGTGTGAGCACGGCTCTTGCAGGTCATATTATGATGTACCATTTAATGTTCAAAAGTACTCTGCAATTTACCAAAGACAAATTGATCATGAATGAAGAGAGCACTACACTACCTCTTCCTTAGGAGTCATGCTTGCAGATTTTTTTTCATCCTCAATTTTTGGTGTGGAATTTGTTGCTTTGTCATCATCTTTATTAACTGGCTCTTCCTCTCCTTCCACATCAGACCCCTCAGACTCTGATGAAGAAGAAAAGGGAACAGCTTCCTCCTGCAATGGTGGTCCATCACTTACTACAGATGTCTTTACTGATTCTGCTACACTGGGCTCAACCAGTCTTTCCTCCTGAGATTCAACAGTGGAAAGTTTCCCCATAAGTTCCTGTACATTTGCTACATCATAAATAGAGCAATTAGCTGGGATAATGTCAATTGAAGATGTTCTCCGTGAATCCTCCACATCACTTGACTCATCTTCAGCTAATGGTGCATCACCAAGGGAAGATACATCCCCATCGTCATCCTCTTCACCATAGTGGAAAGCCTCTTGTCTACTGATTTTGGGACTTTCTGTTGGTCTGACTGATATCACATTAGGTAGGGAATTCGTTGCTGCTAAAGTGTTGTGCACAGTCTTAACCTGAATGGCTGGTTCAGAGCTTCTGTTAATAAGCCCAGGGCGGTTTAATTCAGAGTGATCAGGGTACTTCACTGGTTCAGTGGCCATCAAACTAGACCTCAAACTAACAGGTGCCTCTGTGTTTGAGACCTCTTGTACCTTTACAATCTCATCTCTAGGTGAATGCTGTTCCCTGGTTGATGAATCTGATGACCGAGTACTTAGTGATGGTGAATGATTGCTTCTTAGCTTGTTTTGAATGTCTGCAAGAATTTGGGCAGGGTCTACATCACTGGCATTGGACCCTGTTCTTTGTAAAAGAGATTGAGGAATTGAGGATGGGTCTCGTTTAACAAGGAGCTTTACTTCTTGAGGACCCATGCGTATATGATTTATGGCTTCCTGATGAGTGACACCATGCATGTTATTTCCATTAACCTCAAGAAAAATGTCACCAATCTGAAGTTTGCCACAAGATGCTGCAGGTTGTCCTGGAAACATCTTCTTGATTCTGAGAAAACCTAGACAAGAAGGAAATAAAGTATTCAAAAGACTAAAAATTTCAAAAGAGAAAAAATATTCTTGAGAATTTACAATTTTATGTCATCAGTACTGTGTGGCATTTACATAAAAATTTAAACTCACCACCATGCTCTTCCCCAGCTCCCTTTCCACCAACCAAACTCAGCCCTAGGCCTCCCACACCTTTCACAAGCTCTACCATAAAAGGCTTGTCAGAAGGTTGTGACCTTGTCTTTTTTCCAGAGGACTTTGGAATGTTGACTGCCACAGAACGGTCCAAGACAAGTCTAGTTCTTTGAGGGGCCATTTTGATGGTCTCTACAGCCTGTTTGTGAGTGACTCCTACCAAGCTGATACCATTCACCTGCAAGATACGATCACCAATTTGCACCCTGCCATCCATATCAGCTGGGCCGTTGGGAAGGAGAGACTTGATGTAGATTCCACCAAGCTTGACACTGGTATTTATTCCACCCTAATAATCACAAAATTTTAAAATTCTTTGTAAGCACTAGAGTTAGATAACAGTGAGAATTACAGCAACTTTTACCCTTTAATCCTTAAAACTTCTAACAGGTTATTTCTCCTTACAATATCAATACAATATCAATACAATATCAATACAATATCAATACAATATCAATACAATATCAAGCAGACAAGTGATGAGAAAAAAGAAAAGTATCAATTAGAAGATGAGTTGATCCAATACAAAATTCTTCCAACTAACGTCATGAGAATTGTATAGCAGACGGTACGAAAAATTACTAATTAATGAGGTATCTGATTATTATTTCTAACTTTGAGCTGTTACAGATTTCCCAATAAATTAGTTGAGAAAAATATTCAAAGCACTGATAAAATCAATCCAGATTTTTCTTTATTTACTGATGACAAAAAGTTTAAACACTTACACTGACACTCAAACCTAGGCCTCCATCTCTTTTCTCTAATTCAACAACAAAAGCTCTTTCCTAAAATAAGAAAATGGTGAAAGCAAGTTAGATTTTAATTGGGATCAGTGAAACGGTTTGCACTGATTAAAAGATCATGATCATTATTTTATTTCCACAATAAAATTATTTTCAACCCACCGGCAAAGCATCTTCACTGTAAACTCCACTCTCATCACCACTGAGAGATTCTTGCCTTCCATTAGGGGAATCCCCTTGAGGGCTTGCAACACTTGCTGAGACCAGTGGCATTGTAGCAGACAGTAATGAGCTGTGGATCACATTAGCTTCTAGAGGCGTACTTCTAGTTATCCGTTGAATACTAGGTTCTCCAGTATCTGTAGAGTTGGAACTGAACTTTGCTTGGGAAACTTTGTGTGAATCAACAAAATCTGTTCACAAAGATGGAGAATGAAGAGAATCTTAAACTTACAATTATAGTAAGTTTGAGCACAGTAAATCTTTTTCCATTGTGATAATGAATATGTTTGATGATCTGTGTAAAGTTTTTTACCACAATATCTACATCAAAATTTCTGTGTACAGATATTATCTTCGCATGCTTCTACTTTGTTGCTTTCTCCAATTTGATGATGGTTTTGTACTGTCCCCACAAAAAGCAACATTGTGACAAACTGTAGGTTCTTTAACATTTTGCTTAGACAAGGGATGCTGTCTTCAACCTTAACAACAATTCCTTAAACAACAGATTGCACACCTTGTCTAGTTGTTCTTTGGCGTGAAGAGGCTGATGGCACTGACATCACTGAAGGAGGGATTGATTTAGAAATCATAGTGACAGGTTCGTCCTCTGATGGAAAAGTGAAGGTTGAACGATGAGGTTCTGGAGACTGTTTTCTTGATGACAGGCTTTCCTTGTGATCAGGTTCAGCTGAAGATGTATCTCTTGGTGTCAGAGGTTTGATTTCAAGGCTCTGAGGCTCCTCATTGATTGCACTTATATTTGGAATGCTGGAGAGATCTGCCAAAAAAAAATTTGGTTATTTTCCTTACATTGTTCTGTCTCTATCAATACAAATGAAAAAGGAGAAGAAAAAGCTGGCCACATTTCTTGCTGGCCATACTGAATCTAAGGTTTCAAAATGCCATGCTAATGAACCGTATTTATATTTATTTAGTAATGCACAATACTCTGAGCTACACAATGAGCATTACTTTCAAGTGCATACTGTTGAGGAATATTTTTCATTTATTATTAAGAAATAACAAAGATGTAAATAATGATGCAAAGGATGGCGTGTCAGTCTCCACATCAATAATCCCTTGCCAAAAAGTAAATCTGACTCAAAGGATAACCAGAAAGGAGTTAAGTCCATTACAAGAACTTTTACCTAGAGCCTCAGGAAAACAGGACATAATTACATCCTGCCTCTAGTTAGAACCAAATGTTTTAAACGTTGCATTTTTAATAGATGTCTTTTCGAATTTGTGTAGCCACTTAGTCTTGTATATACATAATGAATTGATATATATATATATTAACAAAGATTTAGTAATACATAGACAGGTAAAAACGAACGATATAAGATTCAGACGTTTCAGCGACTTCATGACGCCATTATCAAGGGTACAAATGAAAATAAAATTAACAAATGCGAGTTCAAGAGTTACAACTAATTTGCATAGGGGAGGTAGCTACACAAATACTTTAGCACGGATAGAATCCGTTTGCAAACGGATTCTATCCGTGCTAAAGTATTTGTGTAGCTACCTCCCCTATGCAAATTAGTTGTAACTCTTGAACTCGCATTTGTTAATTTTATTTTCATTTGTACCCTTGATAATGGCGTCATGAAGTCGCCGAAACGTCGGGATCTTAAATCGTTCGTTTTTACCTGTCTATGAATTGATATATGTAGGAAATTGTAAGTCCAGATGTTTTGTCTCTGGACGTGTTTCTTTTATTTTTTCCAAGTCAATAAAGATCTTATCTATCTAAGTCATTATAAATAATTATGGAAATAAGTTTCAAAGGAAACTGTGGGGCTGCATGAGTGGGGAGTATATTAAGATAATTCTCATTGCATTGGGTAAAAAGAGATCATAGTGTCTCTCTCCACCCAAGAGTGTAAGTGTGCAATGGCAAGCTGTCAGGGAGAGCTGATCAAATGCAGAGGGGGATTGGTACCCTTTCCATAGGGCGGGGGGTAGAACAACACTTCCTGTCACTCCATATATACCACCAAAACTAGGAGACCGTATTTATTCATCTATGAGCCGAGTGATTTTTTCACAAAATTTTACCAAAATCTCGAAAATTTGAGCTAGAGAAGGGTTCTTGGCTTATAGCTGAGTATTTTTCCAAACATAATTTTTTTGAAACAGCAAATTCAAAGGAAACATAGATATATTTGTCTATAAGCCGAGATATTGCATCCAGAAGTAAATAACAAAACAAGTTGAAGTTGGTCATTAACTTTATTTATGTGGTTGCTTCCAAAGGAGCGGTTTGTTGTTTTCGGCGCGTAGTAAATACGGCTTACTGTTCGTCGTCAGTGTTAGTGTGGAATTTGTCGTCCATCTCCTCCTCATCTGCTAGTTCTGTCATTTCTTCCGAGTAGATTGCTTCATCTTCCATGCCGTCTAGAGTAATTAAAGATTCTGCAGGTTTTGAACAAGTGTATAGATCTTGCAAAAGTGTTCTAAGAATTTCGAATTGCCCATTCCCACAATTGGTAAACAAACTCGTCACATGTTACGGTGTTGAAATTTGCGATCATGTAAAGAGAAAACTTACTTTGGTTTCTCTGCTCAGTAAACCAGTAAAGTAATCTCTCTTCCAGCCACGGAAATTTCGGAGTGTAACAGCCCATTATTGCACATTTCACTGACATCTCGAGCTCTACATTAAAGAGATTCTCTTGATCTTTCCTCTAGTGACTCACTGATGACTTACTCTCTGGCTATCTCGGAATTGTTTTCAACAGCAATGCTACATTGAAACTAGTTTCTGTTTCGAAACTTTTGTGTTCATTTCAGTTTGTTCAAGAATGGAATTCTCTGAATATGGTCTTGGCTTATAGCCGAGTATTTTCAATTTACACGTTTTAAGAACCTTCCCAATTAAAACAGACCAAAGTTTAGGGTCTCGGCTTATAGCCAAGATCGGCTTATAGACGAATAAACACGGTAAACTCCAACACAATAGCTCATCTGGCTAATGAGCTGACCTGCCATCATCAGCTGGTACAGTGCATAAATGTATAACTTAATGACATTGCCTTTACGAGTCTAAACTTACCTAATGAAGAGAGAGGGAATGAACTCTGTGATACTTTAAGTTCCACTGGGCTTGTGACATTTTTGAGAACAGACACTGCATGCTCATGAGTGACTCTCTCTAAACTTTGGCCATTCACCGCTAAGATTCTGTCACCTGCAAAGTAATGGGCATATTGCTCATTAAAAATGATGACAACAATGTTAAAATAATTATACTCTTGGTTGAGTTGAAAGTTAACTGGAATGAGACTTTTCATGATTTCCACACAATAAGAACTAAAGGAGGAAAAAGACAAAACTGAACGAAATCATGCACAGCTTGGTGTGTGTCAAGGCTCACACTGAGGAACAATCAGAATGGATGAAGCTCAACAGCATTTTCTATTATAATAATTATTCTTACAATAAGTATTCTTAGTTTCTTATTCAGCAATATCACAGATTATTAAAAAATCCTTATGGTTCCCTTTTTCCTTATTTAGTAAAATTGTGTCAGGTTAAGTAGTCATGTTACCAGCTTTCAGCCGACCATCTTTCCAGGCAGCACCTCCCTCAGTAACAGATTTGACATATATTCCACGGTTCAGTCGCTTAGAATTCTCACCACCAAGAACAGTGATGCCTGTAAGTTTGTACATTAATAATTATACAAAAGAAATAAAACAAAGAATAAACAAATCTGCACTATTTCTCATGATTTTGGCATTCGGAGGTGTCAAAAAGATGATGTTCATTTGCAAGTAGAGTCTGAGATATTTGACTGTGACTGTTTAAGATCTTTACTGCTTGAAGGGAGTTTGGTTTTTGCACAATGGATCCTTCCCTTGGGCTTAGTGACCAAATAATTAATTAGAAAAAGTAGATTTTCTTATTTTACCTGAATTGGAAGACCAAATATAATCCCAGTATATATTTTATGGCTATGATCATAATTTGGAGTTTTTCTTAACCAGGCACTTTTTACTGGATTTACTAGCTAGTTTCTGGTGAAACTGAAGAAAAAGTTGTCTAATTCAGACATGACACTACTTCAACATCAGAACAAGACAAGTATGTCAATGCATAAGGGCCACAAGCACCTGTTCCTCATGACTTAACCCCTTACACCCTAACATCAGTATATATATTCTCCATACTGTTCTCGGTAGATTTCCTAAGGTGCTAACAAGAAGAATTTGTTTAATAATCAAGAGCTTCTTTGGTTGGGGATAATTTTCTTTATTCTTGTAACCTTAATGTGTGATTCAAGGATGATAATGTAAGGAGAAATTAGATGCTAGTCAGTCTTAAGGTCAAAGAATTAATGTATATGACTTTAGCCTAGGCCTTTCACTCCCCAGATCTCATTAGTATTTCTCCTCTGTTTGCCATACCATTCTCACAATGTTAGTTTGGAGAATTTGGTATTGGGTCAACTAATGATCCTCTAATTGATATTTTTCTTTATTCTCATCACTTGTCTCCTTGATATTGTATTGATGTTGTGAGGAGAAATTCTGTCTAGGTCACTCATGGGAGTTCAAGGATTTGAGAGGAAAAGTTTCTTCTTCTACTTGCAATGATCAGTTTATCAGTGATAGCCTTTGAGTGCCAAATTCAGTTTGGACAGGTTCAAGCTAAAAATAATCAACTTGTCAAAACAATGATGCACATTGGACTCCATTATTTGTTCTGAATACACAAAGGATAAATATATTGTCAGTGTGTCCATCAGAGAATTTTAGGGACTTTATTGACAAACTACACACTTTGTTTGACTGGTAACTGGGAACAATATGCTTGATGAAAATTTCTTTTTTTGGTTTAATTTTTTTTTTTTAAATTAACAACTGAACACCAATCAAATTTCTTCATCAGCTCTTAACCCTAAAAAGATGCATTGCTCACTCTCTCCCCAACAAAAACAGTTTGATTTTTTTGTTAAATTTAAAAAACATTGTTTACCAGTTTTAAAATTGAAGTTAGTTTCACTTAGAAAACTCATGGCAAATTATGCTTATACAAACATAACCTGTTAGTAGTAAAATGAAATCAAATAATGAGATGCCATTTTCACTTGAGTAAACTTTGAAGTGTTGAGAGATAGTGCTATGTAAAAAGAGGAAAAAATGTCCTTAAGTTTAAAATTTTCAAAGATGTTTGTCATCAAAGTGAAAAAGAAATAAAATTGGAGAATGTTTCTAGCTTTTTATTATGTATGGTATCATGGTTGCCAACTGATGTTTTTTACCATTGTAAACCCAAATTCACCCTTAAGATTTTCTTTCTGAACCTTTTGAGTTTCATGAAAAGATCCATGAGATCAGAGTAAAAAACAAATCTCTACTGGAATTTGAAACTTGAGGGGGATCTCACTTTTAATCCAGGTGAAGTTTTAAACTCAAGTAGCTATAGCCACTGATTGAAAGCTGTAATTTTAAGAAGCCATGGAGTAACAGCTATTAAAATATTTGTTAAAAAAATGTTAGAAAATGAAAATGTTTCATTCTGGTTGCCAAGTGATCTTTAATAACAATCGCTGTATACCAAAACTTTAACTAAGGACCTCAATTTCCACAACATTGTGGTTCAAGAGACCCACAAGATACATGTAAAGTGAACTGTATACAACTGTCCACTTGTTTACTTGGCAGAGAAAAAAAAAAACATGTTAATTTAAAGGACAGTTGTATTTACAGAGTATGTTTTAGTTCTCATGTAACTATAGCCACTAATTTAGCACCTTGAATTTTCAGCACTCATGCATTAGTATCCGTCAAACTGGTACGAGTATCCAAATTAAAAATTCAAGTTTAAGCTTTAAACACAATAACTCATGAAAACCCAGCTAGGGACTGAGTGCTTTTTCCCTTTGCATGACCAATTAACATACGCAATATGTTGCTTCAACTAAAACCAAGAATAACAAGATGTTATCTTATCTCTCTTAAAATTTGCCCAAGGGAGATTCTCTGAATAAAATTAATATGTATGCATACTTCCTATATTTTGCCTCTTTTTAAATGGTCATCTTTTATATTTTAGTCTAACTTTCATGATCATAACTTACATATTAAAAATATAACAGTAAGGTGGATTATTCAAAATATATTTCAAAGCCCCAGTTCTGTGATGAGCAATATTTTTCAAGACTTAAGTTGAAGTCATTAAAAAAATGCCAGCGCAACTGATCTTTCTTAGGGAAAAAAAAAATAGTTTTCCTACTACACTATACAATTCAAGAAACACGATCACCATAAACCACATCAAAAGAGCCATACCAATAAATAAAATTATTGTTAAATTTGTGAGACACACTTGGCTGTGTGCTCTGATATTTCGTGCAAACTTCGATCAGAATTCAAATTTCTAGCTCATATAATAATTTGGAATAAAGACTCAAAAATGTGGCTAGTGTTTCTTAACAGTCTTCCACAAAAGAAGAAATTACACTTAACAATAGAAAATATCCATTACTCTTCTCTACTCCTCACCTAACAATTTCCCTGGTTCTTTCTCACACACCCCTGGGAGCCATGTCAAGCCAACCACCGCAACAAAAAACAACTTAACAATAGAAAATATCCATTACTCTTCTCTACTCCTCACCTAACAATTTCCCTGGTTCTTTCTCAAACTTGATGGTACAAATTTCCCTATCAGGAGATGCCACCACTTCAGAGCTCCTTTCTTCTGTAATAAAAGGAAAGAGTAAAATTCTCAGAAGAGAAGCAACTACACTTCTGTAATATATATCTTGCTACTTTTCACACCATAACAAGCAAACAGTTGCAGCATAGTAATCCTTTCAATTCACCATAAAACCTTACACTTAATAACATTTTACTTATTTTAGTGTTTAAAATAATGATTTCATAAAACAACTTTTAAAACTTCCCATCAGAATGACTTTACAAATCATACATACACCAACTGGCAGAGAAAAACAAAAATGTGTGCCTTCACTGAGAAGTTTTCTCAACAGGAATTCTGCTATAAATATAATGCAAAGATGTTCAGTGATGTTCTGCATAAATTATTTATGTGTTCACATCACCAAAATGACAATAGGAATTATGTAAATAATTGTGTCATAATGGCCCTATCCTCTCTCCTTTGATCTTGACAAAGCTTTTGATCAGGATACTTAAAAAATTCAGCTCATGAAAAATAAACTAAGAGGGGAAAATTTTGAGCATAATTGATATAAATTGGTTCCATCTCTAATACCAGTCAGAGTTCTCATTTCAGTGCAAACAAAGAAACCTGCTGCCAGTTTGTCTGTTTGTTTGAATACAATTATATTGGAAAAGACACCTGCTCATTGACAGTCAGATCTCTTACAATGGTTGAGCACAAATTTCTTAAATAATGCAAATTGCTGGTGAATCATTATTAAAGACTTTAGAGTAAAATGAATTTTCCAATCCTTCATCCCAAAATCCCGATTAAGGACAAGCTCATGAACAGTATAGTGAAACACTTAGTGCTGATAATGAGCTTATGTTTTAGAAAAAATAAAATTGCATGGCAAGCTCACTGCTGATGGCTGCATTGGCAATTGATAAGACACAATCATGCAAAACAATGAAACAAAAAGAAATAAAGCCAACAAATAATTAAAAACTTTGTTATGATACATTTTTAATAAAATAGTTGTACGAGTCTACCAGACTGCGGATGTCTAGCTTTGTGTAAGTAGAATATATTGGGTGCCGTATGTCAATTCATTGTTGCTGCTGTAAAATTTTTTATTGTTTGAAATTTATGAGAGAAAACTTCACATAAAATCATTAAAGTTTTTTGTTCTTAAAATTTGAAGCAATAGTATCATTCACCTAAGCTATGTACAAAAGCATTCATTCCTATTTCTAAAATTGTATCACCAGACACTCTACACAATAAAATGGTTTCAAGTCTCTATTCACATAACAAATATTTAAAATGGAAAAGAGCTAGTAAAAATAAATATTTGTAAAAATTGTAAGTGGGAAATAATCTTATTGCTAATTGCCTCTTCTGAGTCTCTCTATATATCAGCATATATATCAGGACTGTAGCTCAAAGATAGATATATAATGAGTTATTTCCAATCCTTTAATAATTGATACAGGGGTTTGATTGTGTTTTAGAAAACATGAAGCTAGCAAGCATTGCTTAAAGCAAGACAGTAAAAGTAACCAGATCATAACAGCAACAGAGTCATATTATCCTTAGAGCTTAGTGACAAATCTATTTAGACCAATATGGACCATTTACGATAGCACTGGTAAAATTGTTAATTCAACACATGAATTTTGGCACTTGAGGATTTCTTAAAAAAAAACAAAAAAAAAAAAAAAAAAAANAAAACTCATACATATCTAGTAACAACAAAAAAACTTTGACTTGAGGTGATCATGTACTTCTGATTGAGCATCTTTTACCTGGGACTCATGTTACATGAAACAATGGAATTCACTCCGACGTATAAATAAACCTATTTATCAAGTTTAGATATTAAAAGTTTCAGTTAGATCACAGATGAACCCCATAAGCTATTGATTATTTTCCACAGACACCAGCTTCTCTATAAAGTTAAACAGCCTGAATCATTGTAGGTAAATATCCTTCTTAAAATATGAATTGTTACTTCCCCTAACCCTTACTCTAACCCTTAAGTATTCTTATGGGTCTATGCGAGTCTTTGTCTACAGCTTTTGAAGTGAATTTTTGAGAACATATGAGCCAATTGCACGTTTGTCTACAATTTTTAGGCTTATATTTAGATTACTTAGCAGACAAAAAAAAAAAAGAGCAACTGATCACATTACTTTGACTTCAAATCTAGAAGCAACAAGCAGAATAGCATAACTCCACAAGCTGAACAGAAATGTCAGTTAAAAACACCCTCCAGCCACTCTCTTCATACTAGGGAAACATAATAATGATGCTTTAAGTTTCCACAACAACAAGTACACATCCCCAACAAACAATTTATACGTTTTGGGTGCAAAACTATAACCAAATAATGTATTCTCCTGTATGGCTCTATGAAACTACAAGAAAGATGGAAAAACAGCAACTTACAACAGAAACTCTAAGAGAAAAAGATTTACAATAACAGAAATACAGTACACTTAAAGTGCTAGAAATAACTTCAAAATTTTGTAAATGTTTGGTGAATTTTACAGAATAAGATCAAACTATCTCTTTCTCAATTCTTCCTTCTGCCTCTTGTATCTACCACTGCTCTGAAATACAAATTTAACTGACACAAGAACTTTTCACTTTTGTACCACCACCACCGACTGTAAAATCTAATGAAGGTTAATTTAACTGACACAAGAACTTTTCACTTTTGTACC